CTACGTATCATAAACAAAGACAAGACACCCCTGACATTGCCCATCATGTTAGGAAACAACTGTTTAATTATCAAATAAATGTCATAAGTGTATATAATTAATGTTAATAATACATAAAATAAGCTACATGGTAATACATGAATTTATACGAGACTTAAATGATCAAACCCACTTAGATTCCTCACAATGAAATATCATACATTATGATATTTCATTACGTGTTTTTGAGGAGTAGAGCGTATTTTTAATAATAATTATTATTAAATTATTATTATTATTATTGATTAGTATTACATTATTATTATTATTAAATTATTAATATTATTATTTTTATTAACATTATTTTACAGTAAATCATCAAAAATGTAATATGTGTGAGAAATCTTTGGAGCAGATTGTAAAGGACTTGTGTCTTAGGTCTCCCTAGACATAAGTATTAACTTCTAATTACTAGACCGTCATGGTCTAGTAGGTCATATGTGCATCTGGGGAGAACTAAGAACCAAGTTCGATTAAGGCCACTCTGAAGATTGTCCTATCATTATTAATGTTTTAATTGTTATTATTCATATTCTTATTGATAAACTTATTACAATGTCCTAGCGCTTGAATGAAGATGAGAGAAAGACCCAATATATGTATAAGTGAATTAAAACCAAATTTTCGATATGACATCCATACCCAAGATGATGCAGACAATGTTCTGAACAATATTGATGATTGATAAGGATTTAGCAACCCAGGAGGTGGCACGGGCATGAATAGCCCATAATCTGAACAAGAGTTTAAGAGCTTTTATATCAGAGAGTCTCATGTGGCGCTCTGCCACGTAAGGTATTGTTATTATTATTATTATTATTATTATTATTATTATTATTATTATTATTTATTATTATTATTATTATTATTATTATTATTTCAATTATCATTATTATTATTAGTTGTAGTATTACAATTATTATTTTTATTATTATTATTATTATTGTTATTATTATTATTGTTATTATTATTATTATTTATTATTATTATTATTATTATTATTATTATTATTATTATTATTATTATTATGATTGAGAAAATCCACTGGAGATCATAGATGCCTCAACCCACGACTAACATACTGCCAGCCACAATCTCTACCCCCTAGACCACCCAGACCTGGTAAGAGTTGAACAACCTGGAATTCTAATGAATCAACAACTGGAGGGCTTTTCTGAAGCCTTTTCTTTATTGGCCAGCTGATGCATTGAAATAGGAGTCCCGCAGCAGAAGCAGAATAAACCTTTCAGTAGTAGCAGAGAATATCCACAAAGTAGATAAGTAACCTAAGAGTTCCAGACATGTCGGAAAGCTATGATAATTGTGGCGTGTGTTGCTGTTCTGTAGAGCTCAGGGCAAAACAGGGTATCGAATGTGCAGGTTCCAAACTAGTATACCACTGCACCTGTCTTAATGTCTCGGACGCCTTGTGTGAGGCATACCATGAGGGGAAAACTGAAGGTAAAGGCCTCATTCACATTTATGACATCACTTGCAATGGTAAACCTATGAAACATAGCAGAAACTATGAAAATAAAGATGAAGCAACTGAGGAGAATAAGGATGAAATAGTGGAAGAGGTTGGGACTAGGGAGGAGTCAAGCGTGGTGATAAATCTTATCCTTAGAGGAAATAGTTGAGGAAGTATAGTGACGAAATACTAAGGGACCTGATTGAAGGCCACAAGACGATGAAGGAGTTGCAGGAGGAACTGAAGGTTTTGATGAAAGAAGTTATAGACCTAAACAAAATTAGATAATACATATATGGGGAAAGTCCCCGGGGCCAACCAGGCGTCCCTTGGGGATAATCAGAGACTCGGGGGAACTCAGGGTATACAGGCAAAGTTCCGGATAGACATGCAGGGGCTCAAGTGAGGGATGCAGAAATCATGGATAGTCATTGACAAAAACTAACCACATTATAAGAAACCTTTCGAAAAAAGAGCACAAGAATGACAAGGAACTCATTGAGGCAATGTTAGAGAAACCAATATAAAGAGAAAAACTTAAGTATATCAGATTTCAGAAGGTTTGGTAGGCCGGAAGCAAATATAATAAGAATAACCATTGTTAATTTTGAACACGAAAGGAAGATACTAAACCATGTCCACAAACTCAAAGATCTCGAGGGGTATAACCAAGTATACATATCTCCAGACTTCACTATAGAGCATACAAAATAGACAGGGGTGGTAAAAGGCAAACTGGAATTAAGAAACACAGGACGATACAAAAATGCACAGCTAAAGATCAGGAGAGGTCAAGTGATCCAGATTGCAGGTGGAGAAGAGGTCTTAGTTCTTTACTCAGTCAGGCAGGATTAAACCTATTTATCTCGGACGATAAACAAGTTCAAAACCAGAGCGACATTGTTCAGAATAGTAATGTGATCAATACAGGAGCACTCTTACAGTGACCAGGAACAACGTCGTGAGTTTTAATAGTTTCTTCCCAAATGCCAGAAGCCTAGTAAATAATTTTGACTCATTATGTGCATACGCAGAGGCTGAAAATCTCGACATCGTTGGCATCAGTGAAACATGGAGCAGAGAGAACATTAGAAGGTGAATTCCATTCTCCCAGGATACCACTCACCATCCAGAAAGGACAGAACAATAAGAGTAGGTGGGTGATGCTGTATGTGTAAGAGAATCTGGCGGAAACCAAAAATAAGGAACTAAATACCATGGGATCCTCAGAGTCTGTATGTTGCAACATATTAACTCAAGATGGTAACAAAATGACTATGGGAGTATGCTACAGGGCTGATATAGCAGCGACACAAGAAATTGCGGATCTGCACTATGTGATCAATGTGGCATCTGAAACCCAAACCCTAATGATGAGGGACTTTAACCATAAGACCATAGATTGGATCAACCTAACTTGACAAGCAACAGGTGAACAATTTCTAGACCTAGTACAGGACTCCTTTCTCATACAGCATATGGTAGAACCCACACGTGGTAAAAGCATACTAGATCAGTTGCTAACATCAGAAGAGGGCATGATTAGTCAAATTCATTTGAAAGAAAAGCTAAGCCCGTCCTGTGATCACCATATTTGACGATGAACTACGAATACAGAATTCTCATAAAGGTCAAAGATAATAAATTTTTAGATTACTATCGAAAAGACTATCAAGGAATGAGAGAGGAACTGCAAACCATCTTCTGAAGGGAGCTGATATGCGTACATTGCACGAAAGCATCATGGAAAAATTGCAAGAGGGTCATCACGGAACTTGTTCATAAATATGTTCCGAAAAGAAGACAAGAAAGGGAACTAAACGGATGACACAGATCGTAAAGCGAGCATTGGTAACCAAGAGGACTCTCTAGAGAACATATAAATTAACGATGGGCATCATTGATTAGGAGTTATTTAAAAGGGCACTAAGCTCGGCCACCCAGAAAATCTGATCAGCCAAAAGAAACTACGAAAGAAAACTTTCCCAAAATATAAAGAAAGACACAAAATCTTTCTATGCCTATATACGAGATAAAACCTAAATAAAGAACTCAGTATGACCCATAATAGTTGAGAATTACCATGTAATAATGGACGATAAAGAGGCAGCAAACACTTTAAATGAATATTTTACATCGGTGTTCACATTAAAATAGTTAGATGACATCCTATCACCCACACCAATCTTAGAAGGAGGGGAGAAGAATGAGTTTAGAGATATACCTATAACATGCGAAATAATTAGGAAGAACATTGACGAACTGAAAGGTTCAAAAGACCCAGGTGAGGATGGTATCCAATCCAATGTCTTAAAGGAACTGGCAGAAGAACTATGCCTAACGCTGAAACTACTTTTTACCATATCCCTGGACCAGGAGGTAGTTCCCCTAGATTGGAAATATGCAAATGTCACTCCCATTTTCAAAAAGGCAGAAAGAGTTCAGCCGAAAACTATCGGCCAATCAGCTTGGCATCACGCATCTGTACGCACATGGAGAGAATCTTCAGGGAGGGAATAATTCACCATCTTATAGTGAACAGTTTTGCACAATCGACACAACATGGGTTTGTTAAAAACAGATCGTCTTATAAACCTGCTCACATTTTTAGAAACGGTAACCAGCTACTCAGACAAAGGCCTTCCGGTTGATGTAGTATACATGGATTTTGTTAAAGCCTTTGATAAGGTATTGCATGAAAGACTGATAAGGAAATTACAGGCTCATGGAATAAATGGTAAAATATTAGAATGGATAAAACTATGATTGAAAGAAAGAAAACAAAGGGTCGTGCTAAATAGGAACGATTCTGAATGGAGAAATGTGGTAAGTGGGGTGTCACATGTGTCCATTTTGAGGCCAACCCTTTTTTGTCACATATATCAATGACATATATGAAAATATTACAAACTACATCATCAAATTTGTAGATGACACTAAGATTTACTGAAAAGTGGCAAATGATAATGATGTTGAAGTCTTACAAAGAGATTTACATGAACGCCACAAATGGCCAGAAGACTGGCACAAAATGCCACACCCTGCATGTGGGACAAACAGCCCAAGCCACAGCTACCAAATTAATAGCAATGCATTACAGCAGATTGATGAAGAAAAGGACCTCGAAGTCAAAATCCCCAACTCACTAAAAGTTGCACAAGAGGTAGGAGTAGCAGTGAGAAAAGCTAGCCAAATCCTTGAAATAATCAAGCGTACTTTTGACCTTGGGGAAAAAAGGTAATGATTCAACTGCATAAATCGCTGGTGCGCCCTCATTTTGGATTACTATATCCAAGCATGGAGAACTCCTTTTCAGAAGGACGTAGCTGCTCTGAAGAAAGTGCAACACCGGTCAACAAAAGTCATTCCAGAGCTAAGTCATCTCGTATCAGGAACGCTTGAAGGTCACAAGGCTAACAAAACTGCAAACTAAGCATGACAGGGTGGATCTCATTTACTTCTAAAATACTGAACAGATTAGAGGATGTTGATCCAGAAAATTTCTTCAAAACGTCAGATGTTACTCAAAGAGTTAGCAACGGTTTCAAGCACAACAAGCCACAATGGAAGATTGAGAACAGGAGATTCTTTTTCACACACAGGGTTAGAAACCCCAGTGAAACCATCTACTCGCTGAAGCTATAAATGCCTAAACTGTGTTGAGTTTAAAATATACACAGAAAATATCATTAAGGCAAATGGTAGGGGGGTGGGGTTCCTTCGACAAGCCGCCTGTCTTCGTCGAGGCCACTAGGGTTAGTGGACCTCAGGTAAATATATGTAATTCATGTTGGGGTGTTGACCTACTTTAACCATACCTGGGAGCCTGGGGGTTATATATAAAACTTAGTAGGACTTAAAGAGAGCCCTCCAAACTTCCTATCAATCCCAGGTTGTATAACTTTTATTAGGTCGGGGTGGGCCAGTGGTAGAGATTGTTGCTGAAAGTATTTTGGCCGAGGGTTCGAGTCACTTAAGAGCTCCAACTGATTTTCTCATTGATATATATCTCGTTAGTGTGATTTCTTTGTAATTACTATTATTATTATTATTATTATTATTATTATATATTTTTATTATTGTTTTTGTTTATAATAATAACAATAATAATAATAATAATAATAATAATAATAATAATAATAATAATATTATATTATTATTATTATTATTATGATTATTGTTACTGCTGTTGTTTTTTTATTCAAGCCGTGAACTCAGCACTTGAATGTGTAGACATTTAACGCTCATTTGCTATTAAGTACAATATTATTTTGACTATATTTAGAACTCAAATCTTGTATGGGAGAGTACACTATGACTGTAGGCATGTAGTACGATAATGCGCTTAAATAGTTTTAGCTCAGCAATATTAACAGCAAGGTCTTGTGGCCACAACGACAGTCATCTTTACTAAGCTCCCCGTAGTCTTGGCTGTGATTTTCAAAGGTGAATTCATGAAGGCAGTATTCATGAAGAGTTAGTCCTTCAGGTGTCCACAGGTGTGTACACGTGTGTACTCCAACCCCCGTCAATGATGTAACAGGAGCACCCGGCGTCCTAGCCCTCACCTGTCACTGACCAACCTGTCCTCACACTTAATACCTCACAACATTAACATTTTCAACCCAAACGTTAAATTTTCTGTGATTTATTGAAAGTTAAAGCATTGGAAATTTAAAGCTTTCAGAGACCAATGAGCATAGTCTTCGACAAGTTATGTTGGTTGCCAGGGTTCGACTCTTGTGGTGAGGCAAAATCTTTTTAAATGTGAGGTTCAGAGGAAGGCTTAATTGAGGGTGAGGCGACTGGGGTCCACCAGAGCCAGTCTCTGCAGCTTCTCCACGGTGAGGGGAGCGTCTGAAACACCACAACAGTAGTGACATATATTAACATGCTTCACCAGAGGTGATCACAAAGTTCATTGTGGTTTACCTCGTGGAAACTCGTGCTCTTTCTTTATTGTTTGAGACTGATCACGAGAACCAATCAGCGATTTTTAGGCTAACATAGCATATGTTGGGTTATGCTAGGATAGGTGGGTGTATTTAGATTTGGTTAGAGTAAATTAGGTTAGATTATTGAAGGTTAGGATAGGTTATGCAGGGTTAGATTAGGTTAATCACGGTTAAGTTAGGTTAGATTAGGTTAATCAAGGTTAAATTAGGTTAGATTAAGCAAGTTTTAAATTAGGTTAAGTTAGGTTTGGTTCTTTTAATATAGGTTAAATTAGCTTAAGTTACGTTAGGTTATGATAGGTTTAGTAAGGTTAAGTAAGGATAGGTTAGGTTAGATAAGGTAAGGTTAGGTTAGGTAAGGATAGGTAAAGTTAGATAAGGTAAGGTTAGGTTAGGTAAGGATATGTTAGGTTAGATAAGGTAAGGTTAGGTTAGGTAAGGATAGGCTAGGTTAGGTAAGGATAGGTTAGGTTAAGGTATGATAATATAGGTTAAATTAGGTTAAGTTAGATAATGTACTTATTCCATTAGAAAGTGTTCATGCAGTATGATCGTGATGAATGAGTAGATTAGGTCAGAGTGATGTTTAATGTATATCTAAATATTGCAGTTGCGACCCTAATTAATACTCACCGGTCGGTGACTGCATTGAAAATAATGAAATCAGAATTGCATATACAACTTGAGCTATATTTGAAAAGCTCGGCAAACTGTTGGTATATTTTGGCCAACGTGGTGTTCAATAATTCTGTAGTAATTAACCCTTTGATTATTCACATGTATACAGGTTTTGTTTCCCTATGAAAACTTAAAACCTATTTAATTTAATATTAAATATATATATATATATATATATATATATATATATATATATATATATATATAATATACATACATATATAAAATACATAATATATATATATATATATATATATATATATATATATATATATATATATATATATATACATACATATATAAAATATATATATATATATATATATATATATATATATATATATATATATATATATATATATATATATATATATATATATATATATACATACATATATAAAATAGAAGAAGGAAACACTATTGGCGCAATACGAGTCATCACCAGTGAGGACTCAATTGCCGACAGAGATGCCGCAACAGCTCAAGCCCTAAGGGAGAAACACCCACCCAGGGCTCCGCGTGAGGACGACATTGTACAAGTGGGGGCTACCGGAGCAGAACCTCTCTGGGTGGCTGAATCTGTGGTCCATAAAGCAGTCATGTCCTTCCCAACAGGATCAGCAGGTGGGTTCACAGGACTAACACCCAACCATCTCAAGCAAATGCTCAACCCTGCACTGGGTGACATTGCAAAGAACCTCTTGGTGGAACTAACCAGATTCACCAACACATGTCTAGCTGGCAACATACCAGCGTCCATAAGACCTATCTTTTTTGGAGCATCTCTCTGTGCTCTAAAGAAAAAGGATGGAGGGATCAGGCCAATAGCTGTGGGCAATTCTCTCAGGCGTCTCGTCGCAAAGGCAGCTGCAAGAACAGTTAGTGATGCAGCGACCAACATGCTGAAGCCAAAACAGCTCGGGTTAGGCATTCCACAAGGGTGTGAGGCGGCAGCCCATGCAGCTCGAGCCTTCATCGCCAACATCACAGACGAAAAGGCCCTTATCAAGCTAGATTTCAAAAATGCCTTCAATTTGGTGCGGAGGGATGCTGTACTCCGTGCGGTTCATAGTCATTTCCCTTCCCTCTACCCTTTTGTACATTCATGCTACAGTATGGATCTGAAGCTACTTTTTGGCGAACATGAAATTGACTCGTGGGAAGGCGTCCAACAGGGTGACCCCCTTGCTCCTCTCCTTTTCTGCTTAGTCATCAAACAAGTCACAGAGGTCCTGTCCAGCGAGCTTAACATCTGGTTCTTGGATGATGGTACCCTAGCTGGTTCCCAAGACTCCCTCCTGGAGGACATCAGAAAAATCCAGGAGCAAGGTGCAGTTTTAGGCCTCACCCTGAACCCTTCTAAATGTGAAATAATATGTTCCAACCAGGGCATCGTAGAGAGAATAGAGGGTCTTCTGCCAAATATCCATAAAACTAAACCTGAAGACAGCACACTCCTAGGAGCTCCCCTGGGGTTGAAAGCCATCGATGAGGTCCTTGATAAGAAAATCGCCGACCTTAGGAGGATGGATGGGAGGATTGAAGATATTGATGCTCATGATGCACTCTACCTCATCACCAGATGTCTGTCCCTCCCCAGGTTAACCTACTTTCTGAGGTGTTCACCATCTTACAGTAGCCAAAAACTAAGTGAGTATGACCGGTTACTGAAATCAATGCTAGAAAAAGCCCTTAACCTCTCTCTTGATGACCTACAGTGGAAACAAGCCTCTCTTCCCGTAAGACTTGGGGGCCTCGGAGTTCGAACAGCAACGCAAATCGGTGTTCCAGCCTTCCTGTCCTCCTTATCAGCATCCGACGACCTTGTGAAGGAAATTCTACCTGCCCACTTACATCAGCTGGCAGGTGTACATGATCCCAATTTTACACGCTGTGCCACAGAGTGGGCCTCTCGTGCAGGCCCATCACCTCAACCATCATCCCCAAAAGCCCACAAGCAATCCAGCTGGGATGGCCCCATTGTAGACCAAGTTGCTGCAGAGTGCCTGGGTGCTGCAACAACACAACACGACATTGCTCGCCTCACAGCAGTAGCAGCCCCACATGCAGGGGATTTCCTGTTAGCAACCCCAATGTCGGCAACTGGCACGCGTCTCACACCACACGCCCTCCGAATTGCTGTGGCCCTCCGCCTTGCTGCCCCAATCCACACCAGATATAGGTGTATTTGCGGCGAGGTGGTGGTTGACAGTTACGGCCACCATGGCCTACTCTGCCAATGCACAGGGGGATGGCACACGAGGCACAGTGAAGTTATCGACATCATCAAGAGGAGCCTCACCACAGCTGGATGCCCAGCTGAAAGAGAGCCCCGTTACCTAACGCCCCGTAACTCTGATGCTCTTATTGGTCGCCCGGATGGTATCACAGTGAACCCCTGGAAGAATGGCAAGCAGTTGGTATGGGACTACACGTGCGTATCAAACCTAGCTAACACCTACATTAACCTCAGTGTTGCACAACCAGATGGCGCTGCCACCCACAGGGAAGCAGCCAAATCCCGTAAGTATAGAGAACTGGATCACCACTACAATTTTGTCCCCATTGCTTCTGAGACACTCGGCGCCTGGGGTAAAAGTGCTACCAGTTTTTTGAAGGAACTGGGTTCTAGGCTCATTGAAACAACAAGGGACCCTAGAGCTGCCAGCTTTCTTTTCCAGCGCCTCAGCGTGGCGATACAGAGGGGAAATGGGCACTGCATCCAGGGTTCCTGCCCGCCATCTGAGGAGCTGGAGGAACTCGACAACCTATGATAACCATCTTTGTAACCTATATATAACACCTTTTTTGTAACAAAGTTCAAATAAAGCAAATATATATGTGTACATACAAAAGAATGGGAGTGGTAGGAGATTATATTAGTGTTCAGTGAAAAACCACAAGGTCTCCTCTGAATACTTTTTATTTTCTTCTCCGAGGCTATGGGTCCCCACATTGGCACCAGAGGTGGTACCCTCACAAATTTTATATATATATATATATATATATATATATATATATATATATATATATATATATATATATATATATATATATATATATATATATATATATTATTATTAAATATGACCGAAAAAGTAAGATTAATAATTCTAACACGAATTTTCTCAATCTTTCGTACATTTCTTTTCACTGTTGGAGGTAAATCAAAAATCAATTCTCCAAAATTCATTTTTATTTCTAGTCTGACGCGACACGAGCGCGTTTCGTAAAACTTATTACATTTTCAAAGACTTTAGTTTGCAAATACACAACTGAATAGAACTTACGCATCTCCGATTTTATATCTACATTTGAGTGAGGTGGATGGGGTGAGGTGGCATTAATAGGGTATTAATTTCATCAACACAAGACAGAACAAGAGGTGGTATTAATAGGGTATTAATTTCATCAACACAAGACAGAACACGAAACAATGGGTATTGAATAGAAGTGTTTGTAGAAAGCCTATTGGTCCATATTTCTTGATGCTTCTATATTGGAGCGGAGTCTTGAGGTGGGTAGAATATAGTTGTGCATTAATTGGCTGTTGATTGCTGGTGTTGACTTCTTGATGTGTAGTACACATCAAGAAGTCAACACCAGCAATCAACAGCCAATTAATGCACAACTATATTCTACCCACCTCAAGACTCCGCTCCAATATAGAAGCATCAAGAAATATGGACCAATAGGCTTTCTACAAACACTTCTATTCAATACCCATTGTTTCGTGTTCTGTCTTGTGTTTATGAAATTAATACCCTATTAATACCACCTCTTGTTCTGTCTTGTGTTGATGAAATTAATACCCTATTAATGCCACCTCACCCCATCCACCTCACTCAAATGTAGATATAAAATCGGAGATGCGTAAGTTTTATTCATTACGGGCTATTCATGCCCTGCCACCTCTTGGGTGGCTCAATCTTTATCAATCATCATCAGTTCTATTCAGTTGTGTATTTGCAAACTAAAGTCTTTGAAAATGTAATAAGTTTTACGAAACGCGCTCGTATCGCGTCAGACTAGAAATAAAAATGAATTTTGGAGAATTGATTTTTGATTTACCTCCAACAGTGAAAAGAAATGTACGAAAGATTGAGAAAATTCGTGTTAGAATTATTAATCTTACTTTTTCGGTCATATTTAATAATATATGTCTACAGGAAAGACTGCTACCAAAATATACTAATATATATATATATATATATATATATATATATATATATATATATATATATATATATATATATATATATATATATATATATATATATGTCGTACCTAGTAGCCAGAACGCACTTCTCAGCCTACTATGCAAGGCCCGATTTGCCTAATAAGCCAAGTTTTCATGAATTAATATATTTTCTCTAATTTTTTTCTTTTGAAATGATAAAGCTACCCATTTCATTATGTATGAGGTCAATTTTTTTTTATTGGAGTTAAAATTAACATAGATATATGACCGAACCTAACCAACCCTACCTAACCTAACCTAACTTATCTTTATAGGTTAGGTTAGGTTAGGTAGCCGAAAACGTTAGGTTAGGTTAGGTTAGGTAGGTTAGGTAGTCGAATAAACATTAATTCATGAAAACTTGGCTTATTAGGCAAATCGGGCCTCGCATAGTAGGCTGAGAAGTGCGTTCTGGCTATTAGGTACGACATATATATATATATATATATATATATATATGTCGTACCTAATAGCCAGAACGCACTTCTCAGCCTACTATTCAAGGCCCGATTTGCCTAATAAGCCAAGTTTTCATGAATTAATGTTTTTTCGTCTACCTAACCTACCTAACCTAACCTAACCAAGCTTTTTTTGGCTACCTAACCTAACCTTACCTATAAATATAGGTTAGGTTAGGTTAGGTAGGGTTGGTTAGGTTCGGTCATATATCTACGTTAATTTTAACTCCAATAAAAAAAATTGACCTCATACATAGAGAAAAGGGTTGCTTTATCATTTCATAAGAAAAAAATTATAGTAAATATATTAATTCAGGAAAACTTGGCTTATTAGGCAAATCGGGCCTTGAATAGTAGGCTGAGAAGTGAGTTCTGGCTACTAGGTACGACATATATATATATATATATATATATATATATATATATATATATATATATATATATATATATATATATATATATATTAGGACAAGTCATTGGAAATATATATATGAATTTATTTATGTCAGCAGGAGTAATATTGGTAAAAAAAATTTGTAGGGAAAACTCATATCACAAAATACAGATTAAGTGCTTAAAACCATTTATCTTAGTTTCTTTCCATCTGATGTAGATGATTATTTTGTCCTTTAGTTAATTAAAAATATCATGTGTAAATCAAACTCAAGGCAAACTAAAAGTATACTGAAAGCTTCGCTGGATATTCACTCAGGTTAAACCTGTTAAGTTAAGAACATTGCTCACCCATCTGGAACCAGCCCGGGGTGCCGGCGTCCAGGCGGGCGCTGGTCAGCGCCTGGCGTAGAGCCATTATGATGGAGTACGCCAGACTCAGCGGAGGCTCTGCCGTCACTGTCAATCAACAGAGAAAACCTCCAGAAGTTAAAATGAACAAAGACTAAATATGGATTAATAACAGTAAAAATATAATTTATTATCTAAAGAGTTTGTGGGAGCAGTCTGGAGGAGATTCATAAGTATTCCGGAAGCTGCTACTTTCCCAGCTCGGTCTTCGGTACTGTCCAGCAGCTGCTACTATCCCAGCTCGGTCTTCGGTACTGTCCAGCAGCTGCTACTATCCCAGCTCGGTCTTCGGTACTGTCCAGCAGCTGCTACTATCCCAGCTCGGTCTTCGGTACTGTCCAGCAGCTGCTACTATCCCAGCTCGGTCTTCGGTACTGTCCAGCAGCTGCTACTATCCCAGCTCGGTCTTCGGTACTGTCCAGCAGCTGCTACTATCCCAGCTCGGTCTTCGGTACTGTCCAGCAGCTGCTACTATCCCAGCTCGGTCTTCGGTACTGTCCAGCAGCTGCTACTATCCCAGCTCGGTCTTCGGTACTGTCCAGCAGCTGCTACTATCCCAGCTCGGTCTTCGGTACTGTCCAGCAGCTGCTACTATCCCAGCTCGGTCTTCGGTACTGTCCAGCAGCTGCTACTATCCCAGCCCGGTCTTCGGTACTGTCCAGCAGCTGCTACTATCCCAGCCCGGTCTTCGGTACTGTCCAGCAGCTGCTACTATCCCAGCCCGGTCTTCGGTACTGTCCAGCGGCTGCTACTATCCCAGCTTGGTCTACGGTACTGACCAGCAGCTGCTACTATCCCAGCTTGGTCTACGGGACTGTCCAGCGGCTGCTACTATCCCAGCTTGGTCTACGGGACTGTCCAGCGGCTGCTACTATCCCAGCTTGGTCTACGGGACTGTCCAGCGGCTGCTACTATCCCAGCTTGGTCTACGGGACAGCCCAGCGGCTGCTACTATCACAGCTTGGTCTACGGGACTGTCCAGCGGCTGCTACTATCCCAGCTTGGTCTACGGTACTGACCAGCAGCTGCTACTATCCCAGCTTGGTCTACGGGACTGTCCAGCGGCTGCTACTATCCCAGCTTGGTCTACGGGACTGTCCAGCGGCTGCTACTATCCCAGCTTGGTCTACGGGACTGTCCAGCGGCTGCTACTATCCCAGCTTGGTCTACGGGACAGCCCAGCGGCTGCTACTATCACAGCTTGGTCTACGGGACTGTCCAGCGGCTGCTACTATCCCAGCTTGGTCTACGGGACAGCCCAGCGGCTGCTACTATCACAGCTTGGTCTACGGGACTGCCCAGCGGCTGCTACTATCACAGCTTGGTCTACGGGACTGTCCAGCGGCTGCTACTATCCCAGCTTGGTCTACGGGACAGCCCAGCGGCTGCTACTATCACAGCTTGGTCTACGGGACTGTCCAGCGGCTGCTACTATCCCAGCTTGGTCTACGGGACAGCCCAGCGGCTGCTACTATCACAGCTTGGTCTACGGGACTGTCCAGCGGCTGCTACTATCACAGCTTGGTCTACGGGACAGCCCAGCGGCTGCTACTATCACAGCTTGGTCTACGGGACAGCCCAGCGGCTGCTACTATCACAGCTTGGTCTACGGGACTGCCCAGCGGCTGCTACTATCACAGCTTGGTCTACGGGACTGTCCAGCGGCTGCTACTATCCCAGCTTGGTCTACGGGACAGCCCAGCGGCTGCTACTATCACAGCTTGGTCTACGGGACTGTCCAGCGGCTGCTACTATCACAGCTTGGTCTACGGGACAGCCCAGCGGCTGCTACTATCACAGCTTGGTCTACGGGACAGCCCAGCGGCTGCTACTATCACAGCTTGGTCTACGGGACAGCCCAGCGGCTGCTACTATCACAGCTTGGTCTACGGGACAGCCCAGCGGCTGCTACTATCACAGCTTGGTCTACGGGACTGCCCAGCGGCTGCTACTATCACAGCTTGGTCTACGGGACTGTCCAGCGGCTGCTACTATCACAGCTTGGTCTACGGGACAGCCCAGCGGCTGCTACTATCACAGCTTGGTCTACGGGACAGCCCAGCGGCTGCTACTATCACAGCTTGGTCTACGGGACTGTCCAGCGGCTGCTACTATCACAGCTTGGTCTACGGGACAGCCCAGCGGCTGCTACTATCACAGCTTGGTCTACGGGACTGTCCAGCGGCTGCTACTATCACAGCTTGGTCTTCGGTACTGTCCAGCGGCTGCTTCTGAACCATCCACCCCACACTACTGAACCATCCACCACCACACAAATGAACCATCCCCCCACACAAATGAACCATCCCCCCCACACTACTGAACCATCCACCCACACTACTGAACCATCCACCCAACACAAATGAACCATCCCCCCACACTACTGAACCATCCACCCACACTACTGAACCATCAACCCCACACTACTGAACAATCCACCCCACACTACTGAACCATCCACACTCACTACTGAACCATCCACCCCACACTACTGAACCATCCACCCACACTACTGAACCATCTACCCCACACTACTGAACCATCCACCCCACACTACTGAACCATCCACCCCACACTACTGAACTATCCACCCCACACTACTGAACCATCCACCCCCACACTACTGAACCATCTACCCCAAACTACTGAACCATCCACCCCACACTACTGAACCATCCACCCCACACTACTGAACCATCTACCCCAAACTACTGAACCATCCACCCCACACTACTGAACCATCCACCCCACACTACTGAACCATCTACCCCACACTACTGAACCATCCACCCCACACTACTGAACCATCCACCCCACACTACTGAACCATCCACCCCCACACTACTGAACTATCTACCCCAAACTACTGAACCATCCACCCCATACTACTGAACCATCCACCCACACTACTGAACCATCCACCCCACACAAAAGAACCATCCACCCACACTACTGAACCATCAACCCCACACTACTGAACCATCCACACTCACTACTGAACCATCCACCCCACACTACTGAACCCTCTACCCCACACTTCTCAACCATCCACCCCACACTACTGAACCATCCACAAATACAACTGAGCCATTCACCCGTACTACTGAAGCATCCACCCACACTGAACTATCCACCAACACTTCTGAACCATCCACCCACACTACTGAGTCATCCACCCACACTACTGAACCCATCCACCAACACTACTGAACCATCCACCCACACTACTGAACCATCCACCCACACAACTGAACCCTCCACCGACACAACTGAACCATCCACCCCACGCAACTGAACCATCCACCCACACTACTGAACCATCCACCCACACTACTGAACCATCCATTGAACCATACACCAACACAACTGAACCATTCACCCACAAAACTGCACTGAACCCTGCTATTGTACTTAAATATATATTCCTCTATCAAAGAGTTAGGTAGATGTCATGCTCTCTCATTTATGCAGGATATAATTTGGAAGAGTAAGACAGTGTTTGAGAAATGCTTGTACATTGATCCATCTCACCTTTGGAGGAGAGGACGCCGATCGGGTTGGGAGCATTTTGCAGGAAAGTCACTCTCAGGTCCACTGGAATGTCGAGAGCCATGGGCGGCTTGTAGTTCTGTTAAGTAAAGCATTAAAATATTGTTATACCTTCTTCACCTGGCTCCATGGCTCGTGTGTTCATGTTTTCATCACTTCTTTGTGTGCATAACCCACCTACAGTCTACTGGTTCCTACCATGTATGTAGTAACCCACTAACAGTCTATCAGATCCTACTATGTATTAAGTAACCCACCAACAGTCTACTGAATCCTATCATGTATTTAGTAACCCACCAACAGTCAACCGGATCCTACTATGTATGTAGTAACCCACTAACAGTCTATGGGATCTTACCATGTATTTAGTAACCCACCAACAGTCTACCGGATCCTACCACGTATGTAGTAACCCACTAACAGTCTACCGAATCCTACCATGTAATTAGTAACCCACCAACAGGCTACCGGATCCTACCATGTATCTAGTAATCCAGCAACAATCTACTGGATCCTTCCATGTATCTAGTAACCCATCTACAGAGTCTTCAAGAATCCATCATGAATACCGCCTCACCCACTACCCGCAGAGCCTACTAGTATGCTTGTAATATCGGTGACACTTCCTAGAGCCCCACTACTACCTATTGAGCCTTACAGAAACCATTCACTTCATAACACCACCCATTACGTGTAGACTCATCCACATCCTACCCTTCGGCCTCCAGTGCCTAGCAGAAATAACCCACAACTTATATAGTCTACCAGAGCCCACTCAACACATAGTAACCACCTACAGAGCCTCCCAGGGCTCACTCAGCATATAGTAACCACCTACAGAGCCTCCCAGGGCTCACTCAGCATATAGTAACCACCTACAGAGCCTCCCATCCAGCATATATTAACCACTTAAGAGAGAGACTAGCAAAGTAGAGGCAGCCTGCGGGAAGACAACATAGAGGAACCTACCCAGGTGCTGTCAGTGAGCCTCTGGCCGGTAGATGGATTATAGAGTGGTTGTTCAGTTAAGAAGAGTCCCTGGCCCATGATGAATGCTCCCTCCACCTGTCCGATGTCCACCAGGGGGCTGAGGCTGCGGCCCGCGTCCTCTAGGATGTCCGTCCGCAGAACCTGCAACACAACGGTAGCCGGAAGGTCAGTGTATGTGGCCATACACCCTTGTGTTGTCTGTGGTCATACACCCTTGTGTTGTGTGTGGCTATATATCCTTGTATTGTGTGTGGCCATATACACCTTTGTGTGCGAGTGGTCATACACCCTTGTGTTGTGTGTGGCTATACATCCTTGTATTGTGTGTGGCCATATACACCCTTGTGTGCGAGGGGTCATACACCCTTGTGTTGTGTGTGGCCATACACCCTTGTTTTGGGTGTGGCCATTCACCCTTGTGTGTGTGGCCATACACCCTTGTGGTGTGTGTGACCATACATCCTTGTGTTGTGTGTAGCCATGCATCCTTGCGTGTGTGGCCGTACACCCTTGTATAGTGTATATTCACCTAGTTGTCCTTATAGGGGTGGAGCTTTGGCTCTTTGGTCCCGCCTCTCAACTGTCAGTCAACTGCTGTACAGATTCCTGACCCTACTGGGCTCTATCATATCTACATTTGAAACTGTGAATGGAGTCTGCCTCCACGACATCACTGCCTAATGCATTCTATTTGTTAACTACTGACACTGAAAAAATCCTTTCTAATGTCTTTGTTGCTCATCTGGGTACTAAGTTTCCACCTGTGTCCCCTTGTTCGTGTTCCACCCGTGCTAAAGGGTTTGTCTTTGTCCACCCCGGTGGACAAAGGCTCCCTTTGGGAGCCGGTCGGCCGAGCGGACAGCACGCTGCACTTGTGATCCTGTGGTCCCGGGTTCGATCCCAGGCGCCGGCGAGAAACAATGGGTAGAGTTTCTTTCACCCTGTGCCCCTGTTACCTAGCAGTAAAATAGGTACCTGGTTGTTAGTCAGCAGTCACGGGCTGCTTCCTGGGGGAGGAGGCCTGGTCGAGGTCCGGGCCGCGGGGACACTAAAGCCCCGAAATCATCTCAAGATAACCTCAAGATAAGCCCTGTCAATTCCCCTCAGAATTTTGTAGGTGGTTATCATGTCTCCTCTTACTCTTCTGTCTTCCAGAGACGTGAGTTTCAGCTCCTTTAACCTTTCCTCGTAGCTCATACCTCTCAGTTCCGGGACGAGTCTGGTGGCATACAGCTGAATAATTTTCTCTAACTTTGTCTTGTGTTTAACTAGGTATGGACTCCAAGCTGAAGCTGCATATTCCAGGATTGGTCTGACATAAGTTGAATATAGGGTCCTGAACGATTCCTTACTTAAGTTTCTAAAGGCTGTTCTTATGTTGGCCAGTCTAGCATATGCCGCTGATGTTATCCTTTTGATGTTGGCCTCTGGGGACTGCTTCGGTGTGATATCAACCCCCACATCTTTCTCTCTATTTGACTCTTGCAGGATTTCACCTCAAAGATGGAACCTTGTGTTCAGCCTTCTGCTCCCTTCGCCTAATTCCATTACTTTGCACTTTCCCGAGTTGAACTTTAGTAGCCATTTTCTAGTCCATTCCTCCAGTTTGTCCAGGTCGTCATATAGTCTCTGTCTATCATCATCTGTCTTGATTCTTCTCATAATTTTTGCAACATTAGCAAACATGGAGAGGAATGAGTCTATACCCTCTGGAATATCGTTTACATATATTAGAAACAGGATGGGTCCAAGTACAGAGCCCTGTGGGACTCCGCTGGTGACATCTCGCTACTCTGATGTCCCTACCCCCTCTCACAATTATTCTGTTTCCTTTTGCTTAGATACTCCCTTACCCACTGGAGCACCTTATCTTTTATTCCAGCCTGTTGCTCCAACTTTCGCAACAGCCATTTATGGGGTACTGTGTCAAAAGCTTTCTGACAGTCCAAGAAAATATAGTCTGCCCACCCTTCTCTTTCCTGCCTAATTTGTGTTGCTTGGTCATAGAATTCTATTAAACCTGTGAGACACGATTTATCATCTCTGAACTCATGCTGGTGATGTGTTACAAAGCTATTTCCCTTCAGTTGTTCTACAAGCCTTTTTCCTTCACAATCTTGTCCATCACCTTGCATGGTATTCAAGTTAAGGAAACTGACCTGTAGTTCAGTGCCTCTTGCCTGTCACCCTTGTTGTATATTGGGACTACATTAGCTGTCTTCTAGCTTTCCGGTAGGTCTCCTGTTTCCAGTGATCTGTTATACACCATAGAGAGAGAGACACATTTCGTGCTTTTTGCACCTTCTTTTAGTATCCATTGTGATATTCTGTCAGGCCCAACAGCCTTTGTCACATTCAGCTCCAACAAATCCCTTTTGATCACTGGTGAGGTCAAAATCCTCCAAGGTTGCTTGGTTTGCCTCCTCTTCATTTAGCACAGGGGCTTCTCCTTGTTCTTTTGTGAAAACCTCCAGGAATCTCTTGTTGAGTTCTTCACACCCCTCCTTGTCATTCTCTGTGTATCTATTCTACCCTCTTCTCAGGTTCATCACTTGTTCCTTCACCGCGGTCTTCCTCCTGATGTGGCTGTGGAGCAGCTTTGGTTGGGTCTTAGCTTTACTCGCAATATCATTTTCAAACTGTCACTCTGCTTCAATCTTCACTCTGAGGTACTCATTTCGTGCCCTCTGGTATCTCTCCCGTCTCTCTGGCGTTCTGTTATTCCTGTAGTTACTCCATGTTCTTGTACTCGATTGCTTTGCTACCTTACACAAGGGTGTGTGTTGCCATACACTCTTGTGTGTGTGGCCATACACCCTTGTGTGTGTTGCCATACACCCTTGTGTGTGTGGCCATACACCCTTGTGTTGTGTGTGGCCATACACCCTTGTGTTGTGTGTGGCCATACACCCTTGTGTTGTGTGTGGCCATACACCCTTGTGTTGTGTGTGGCCATACACCCGTGTGTTGTGTGTGGCCATACAACCTTGTGTTGTGTGTGCCCGCCATACACCCTTGTGTTGTGTATGGCCATACACCCTTGTGTTGTGTGTGGCCATGCACCCTTGTGTTGTGTGTGTAGCCATACACCCTTGTGTTGTGTGTAGCCATACACCCTTGTGTTGTGTGTGGCCATACACCCTTGTGTTGTGTGTGGCCATACACCCTTGTGTTGTGTGTAGCCATACACCCTTGTGTTGTGTGTGGCCATACACCCTTGTGTTGTGTGTGGCCATACACCCTTGTGTTGTATGTGGCTATACACCCATGTGTTGTGTGTAGCTATTACACCCTTGAGTTATGGTGGCCATACACCCGTGTTTTATGAGGCTATAAACCCGTCTATTGTGTGCCATACACCCGTGTAACGTGTGGCAATAAGTCCGTGTATTGTGTGGCCATAAATCCGTGTGATATGTGGATATTCACTCGTATTTTTTGTGGACTTAAACCCGTATTGTACTAAATACTTATATACTTAAGCTACTTGTACTTAAGCAACTTAAGTAGCGCGGGTTATGGTGAGCCCACAGTGAACATTCCTGGCTTAGGAACGGGGCTGTAACTGTGAAGATTTGTACATTTCTTGAGTATATATATAATGTTGGAAGAGAGGTACGGGAAAACACCATACTCAATGTAAGTAAATTAATCTCTTAATTCTAAATTAAAGTTAACTATTGCTAAAGTTAGGATTATTAATTACATAAATATATGATTTGCCCATATAATAAATAATTTTCCGGCAGGAAGGAGACAGAACCAATGTGAGTTACTGGAGACATTGACCACATGGTCAACCACATTGACCACAAGGTGTGTGGCCATTTGCACGTGTTGTGTAGCCATACACCCGTGTATTGCTTGAGGCAATACACGCGTGTTGTGTGTTCTCATACACGCGTGTTTTGTGTGAACAAACACCCCATGTGTTGTGTGACATACACCCGTGTACTCGTAAACCTGTGTGTTTTGTGGCTATCCAACAGTGTTGTTTGTGTAGCAATACACCAGTGTGTTGTGTATGGCCATGCTCTCTAGTGTTGCTGTCATACACCCGTGTGCTGTGAGGCCATATCTTTGTAATGAGTAGCCATTCACCCCTGAGCATTGTGTGGCCATACCCATATGTTGTGCGGGAATACACCTGTGTGTCGCACGTGTGTGGCCATACACCCGTGTGTCGCGTGTGTGGCCATACACCCGTGAGTCGCGTGTGTGGCCATACACCCGTGAGTCGCGTGTGTGGCCATACACCCGTGTGTCACGTGTGAGGCCATACACCCGTGTGTGGCCAAAAACCCGTGTGTCGCCATACACCTGTGTGTGGTCATACACCCGTGTGTCGCCATTCACCCATGAGTCGCCATACACCCGTGTGTGGCCATACACCCGTGTGTGGCCATACACTTATGTCTAGCCATACACCCGTGTGTGGTCATACACCCATGTCTAGCCATACACCCGTGTGTGGCCATACACCCGTGTGTGGCCATACACCCGTGAGTCGCCATACACCCGTGTGTCGCTATTCACCCGTGAGTCGCCATACACCCGTGTGTGGCCATACACCCGTGTGTGGCCATACACCCGTGTGTGGCCATACACCCGTGTGTGGCCATACACCCGTGTGTGGCCATACACCCGTGTGTGGCCATACACCCGTGTGTGGCCATACACCCGTGTGTGGCCATACACCCGTGTGTGGCTATACTCCCGTGTGTGGCCATACACCCGTGTGTAGCCATACACTCCATGTGCCGACATACACCCGTGTGTGGCTATACACCCGTGTGTGGCGTGAGTGGCCATACACCCGTGTGTGGCTATACACACCGTGTGTGGCCATACACCCGTGTGTGGCCATACACCCGTGTGTGGCTATACACCCGTGTGTGGCCATACACCCGTGTGTGGCCATACACCCGTGTGTCGCGTGATACACCCGTGTGTCCCGTGAGTGGCCATACACCCGTGTGTCGGTGAGTGGCCATACACCCGTGTGTCGCGTGAGTGGCTATACACCCGTGTGTCGTGTGTAGCCATACGTGTATGATGCATACACCCGTGTGTGTGTTCTCATCCACGTGTTTTGTGTGAACCATACACCCGTGTGTCCCGTGAGTGGCCATACACCCGTGTGTCCCGTGAGTGGCCATACACCCTAGTGTGTGTCATACACCCGTGTGTGTGAGGCCATATCTTTGTAATGAGTAGCCATTCACCCCTGAGCAGTGTGTGGCCATACCCATATGTTGTGCGGGAATACACCTGTGTGTCGCACGTGTGTGGCCATATATCCGGGTGTCGCGTGTGTGGCCATACACCCGTGTGTCGCGTGAGTGGCTATACACCCGTGTGTCGCCATACACCCGTGAGTCGCGTGTGTGGCCATACACCCGTGTGTCGCGTGAGTGGCCATACACCCGTGTGTCGCGTGAGTGGCCATGACACGCGTGTGTGGCCATACACCCGTGTGTCGCCATACACCCGTGAGTCGCGTGTGTGGCCATACACCCGTGTGTCGCGTGAGTGGCCATACACCCGTGTGTGGCGTGAGTGGCCATACACCCGTGTGTCGCGTGAGTGGCCATACACCCGTGTGTGGCGTGAGTGGCCATACACCCGTGTGTCGCGTGAGTGGCCATACACCCGTGTGTCGCGTGAGTGGCCATACACCCGTGTGTCGCCATACACCCGTGAGTCGCGTGTGTGGCCATACACCCGTGTGTGGCGTGAGTGGCCATACACCCGTGTGTGGCGTGAGTGGCCATACACCCGTGTGTGGCGTGAGTGGCCATACACCCGTGTGTCGCGTGAGTGGCCATACACCCGTGTGTCGCGTGAGTGGCCATACACCCGTGTGTCGCGTGAGTGGCCATACACCCGTGTGTCGCGTGAGTGGCCATACACCCGTGTGTCGCGTGAGTGGCCATACACCCGTGTGTGGCGTGAGTGGCCATACACCCGTGTGTGGCGTGAGTGGCCATACACCCGTGTGTGGCGTGAGTGGCCATACACCCGTGTGTCGCGTGAGTGGCCATACACCCGTGTGTGGCGTGAGTGGCCATACACCCGTGTGTCCCGTGAGTGGCTATACACCCGTGTGTGGCGTGAGTGGCCACACACCCGTGTGTCGCCATACACCCGTGTGTCACATGAGTGACCATACACCCGTGTGTCGCGTGAGTGGCTATACACCCGTGTGTCCCGTGAGTGGCCATACACCCGTGTGTCGCGTGAGTGGCCATACACCCGTGTGTCGCGTGAGTGGCCATACACCCGTGTGTGTCACCTCTCAGCTCTGATACTACTCTGGTGGCATACCTTTGAACCTTCTCTAACTTTGTTTTGTGTTTAATTAATTGTATACTCCAGGCTGGAGCTGGATACTCCAGCGTTAGTCGGACATATGCCGTATATAAGTTTTGAATGATTTCTTTTACAAATTTCTAAAGGCAGTTCTTATGTTGTCCAATCCAGCATACGCCGCTGATGATATCCGTTTGACGTGAGCTTCTGGGCTACAAGTTCGGTGTGATATCAAGCCCCAGATTTTTCTCTCCACTTGACTGTTGAAGGATTTCACCGCCTAGATTGTACACTTCTCCTAGTTACATTACTTTACACTTGAGTTAAACTTTAGTAGCCATTTTCTAGACTTTTCCTCTTATTTGTCCAGGTCTTCTTGTAGTCTGTCTGTCTACCTCTGTCTTGATTCTTCTCATAATTTTTATATCAAAAAATATTGAGAGGATTGAGTCTATGTTCTCTATAAGATCGTTTACATATACCAGAAACAGGATGGATCCAAGTACAGAGCCCTGTAGGACCCCGCTGGTGACATCTTGCCACTCTGAGTTCTTCCCCCTCACAACTACTTGCTGTTGTTGTTGTTGTTGTTGTTTAAGATTCGCTACTTGGAACTTTTTGTTCCAAGTAGCACGGGCTATGGTGAGCCCGTTGTCGACTTACCTGGCACAGGAGCGGGGCTGTAACTTGAGCTACTTGCTGTTTCCTGATGCTGAGATACTCCCTTATCTACTGGAACACCTTACCTGTTATTCCTGCCTATTTCTCCAACTTTCGTAACAGTCTCTTATGCGATACTGTATCAAAGGCTTTATGTCAGTCTAAGCAAATGAAGTCTGCCCACCCTTCTCTTTGTTGCTTAATTTTGTCTCCATTACATTACAGACAACACACATGTTTGGGGACCCAGTGTCTATGAGCCATTACAGGAACCACCAATATGACTGGGGACCCAGCGGTCACGAGCAATTACATTCAGCGCCAATATGATTTGGGACCTAGCATCTACGATCCATTAGAGTCACCACCAATATGGCTGGGGACCCAACGTCTATGAGCCATTAGAGACAACGCCGGTATGACTGGGGACCCAGCGTCTATGAGTCGTGAGAAGCCCTACTAATATTATTGGGGACCAAGCGTTCGCGGGGCCAATAGAGGCAACGCCAATATGATTGGTGACCCAGCGTCTACGAGTCATTAGAGGCACTACCAATATGACTGTGAACCAAGCGTTCACTATCCATTAGAGGCACTACCAATATGACTGTGAACCAAGCGTTCACTATCCATTAGAGGCACTACCAATATGACTGTGAACCAAGCGTTCACTATCCATTAGAGGCACTACCAATATGACTGGGGACTATAAATAACTAGCAGGGAGGCTATTAAGAGCAACCAAGAACATTTGACTCCAAGGATAACCAAAGTCAGGAGATTGACTCACAAAAGTTTTGTAAACAATACTTTAGAGGATAGTATGTTTACTGAGAAGGTGAGTGGGTGGATGGGTCCATCTGGACCGTGGAGTGCCCCTGACACATTAAATGGTCTCATTATCATCGTTGCTATCTTGGAGATCACTGCTTCTAATGGTAAGATGGTGCTGGAGAACGACAGTAGCTACACTTGTTTCATCTGGACATTTTTGGGGTCCTTAAGCGGAACCTGACCGACGTGAAGCAGCGTTGCATGGTGTTCAACATATCGAGGCTGACCCTTGATAGTGCGCATGCCAGACTGTCTGAGGCGGAGGGTACCATTCGTGCCAACGGACTGAAGCAGGTAAAAATGGAGCCAGAGATCAACAATAACCAAATTCTCATCAATATATTTAAGATCAAAATATTTGGTCAGAGCCACGTGTCTCTCCCAGTGGGGCCTCCGGGCAAGACAGCACCTGTCAACATGTCCAGGGGTCCCCACACCAGGTGGGTGCTGGCTGTAACTGTAGCTGGGCACATGTTAGTGTCCGGGACAGGTGAGGGACCTTAAGACGCAACAAGGTCACAGATGTCACATCGGATGTCCTAACACAGACGGCTCTGTGTTAGTGCATGAGGAACACATTCAGTTGACAGCAACAACAACAGTTAATTAGCTCAAAGAACCCACTCCCACACCTTCCCTTCCCCAGTAATGTCGCAGTACTGGACATCACTGAGGCGGTTCCCTCTACTCAACACTTTTCTTCCTGAGTTATACTCTTCCAAGAGTTATACTCTGCACCATCCTGTGGTTTGTCGAAATTCAACATTGGGTGTTTATCTCCAGCAGAAATGGGTGTTTCCTTAAAAGAGCGTGCGAATGTTGGCGATAAGGAGGCTATCCGCATTTGTCCTATTTCCCGTAAAGGAAAATATGACATTTATTTCGACTTCTATCCAGTTATTCAGTCTTCAATTCTCCCATTGGCAGGGTCGTTGGTCTTCTGTTATTGGTATCAAACTACATGCTCTTAAGGGTAGCGTGTCCCTATGGCTTTCCTCCTACCACCGTAACTGGCTATGGGAAACAGCTCTGGCGAGGTTATGTCTTGGCCATATACGTTTAATTCATGGACATTTAATGGGGTGCTGCCTTGCTCCTTATTGTCCAAACTGCATTGTCCTTTTTACGGTCGTGCATATCCTTGTTGAATGTTCTGTTTTCCCAGGATGTGCGTTCGTCTTGCTAGCCAACAGTCCCTCGCAGTTACCTGTCCTTCGATAGTATCACTGGTGAATTGGTTCTTTTTGATATCGTTCGCCTTTTGCACTTTTGCTCTCGTATTGGCATAAATATTAGTGATATTTTGCGCCTTTTCAATATCCTGCACATTTGATGGTGCTACATAGCCTTCACGGCTTGGTGCCTTCCTTTGATTGCTACTTACTTGCAAAGGGAAACGTGCAACACCACTCACCAGGTAATGGAAGGCCACCAGTCTTCAGGTACTATCCAGTCACCACTCACCAGGTACTGTCCAGTCACCACTCACCAGGTACTGTCCAGTCACCACTCACCAGGTACTGTCTGGTCACCACTCACCAGGTACTGTCCAGTCACCACTCACCAGGTACTGTCCAGTCACCACTCACCAGGTATTGTCCAGTCAGCAGGTCCAGCTCCACCTCTGTACACGCCACACCGAACACGCTGTAACCCTTCACCTCGTCCACTCCATTCCTGTAAGATGGAGCGGTGAAGCAAAGGGGTACAGTAATACAATGGGTCATGTGAAGGAAGGGGTACTGTAATACAATTTGTCCAGTGAAGTACATCCCAATGGGACCATCTTTCTCTACCATTCGACAAGTACCTGCCCATAAAGTTTGAACAAATTAACGTATATAATATAAATATATACATATAATATTATAAAAAAGTAAATTACTAAAGTCAACAAGGGATACATACGGTGAAGCACAAATACAATACAATACATAAGACAATGGAGGTGTGTGGAAAGTGTTATAAAGCATTTGGAAGATGTATTGTAGGCGTCAAATGTTGAATCTGCAACACATGATTTCACCTGAGCTGTGCAGAATTATGTAAACCATGCACAAACAGACAAGGAATATACTGGATTTGCAACAATGACAGGTTAATAAGAGAAAAGATAACCCAACTGATGAATGTTATACCCGAGGCACACAGATTAACATTCACAGAAAAACTACCAGCGATAAATGCGGACTGTGAAAAGACAACATTGGATAACGACAATAACTCAGGTACTGGTAGTTTAGAGAACCACAGCAGAAGTGTGGAGGGAGAGGATATTGTGGTACAAAACAGCAGCAATATTGCAGAGTCAGGTAATATAAGCAATGAGAGCAACAGTGGGAAAGAGTGCATAAACGAAGGAATTGGGACAAAAACCGTAGATGACTCTAATAAAGAGTTTGACAAGACAGGCACAGGTATAAATTACATGGAAAAAATCTGAGAATATTTGTAAATTCTATGCACAATGAATCTGCATATATGAGAAAAATATCCAAAATGCACTTTTCTGCATCCTCGAAAATGCAGGAACATGTTGGCGGGCGTTGCATGCCATTTTAGAATGGAGTGCAGATACTTCCTCCCTAAACTAAGTTAATTTACAATTACTGACCAAAAAAATACAATCTTCAGTGCCCGGAATTCCACGTGAGAGGTACACAGCGTTATTGACGGGAAGATCAATATAATATTACTTTTTTTTTTGAGGCAGGCAGAAACAGAGTAGAACATATAGGAGAGAGGAACAGGCAGATAGAACCACTGCAGGATTACAGAGGGATAGGTAGATATCCACAGGATTGGAATATAAGTCATCATCAAGCACACAGGTACTACACCACACAACACCCGTACTACTACCAAAACTGGATGAACTACTACCATAACTGCACACCCTGGAGCAGGGTGGAGAGGGGGGAGAATTACCAAAGCCCACCAGAAGTGACACACACAATATGGAAAATCATTCATATTTGCAAACATACAAGGCCTAAAGTCAAAATCAAGAAATAAAGTTAAGTTCATATATGGCCTTCTAATAGAATCGAACTCAATATTTGGTGCATTTACAGAAACCCACACGAAAGACTACATGGATAGTGAAATATGGATCCCAAATTATAATCTATATAAATGTGACAGAGTAATTAGGTCAAGTGGAGGAGTAGGTCTGTATATTAAGGAGGAACTGGCATGCACAGAGCTCATAAACTCGAAAAATGAGGTGGTACAGGTACTTGGAATCAAGGTAGAAAATATAATTCTAATTATTATTCTAATATTCAAACCGCCAGATGCAACAGTCGAGGAATTCACTGAGCAGATACACAAAATAGAGACTATTCTTGATAACCTAGCATATTCTTGATAACCTAGCATACCCAGTACCAGATATTATCTTTCTTGGAGACTTCAATCTACCCAGTTTAAAATGGAGAATAGCAAACAATAACATTCGGCAGGAAATCAACCTGGAAATAACCAACTGCAAGTCAGAGAACTACTGAGATTCTGTGAAAAATTCTCGCTCAATCAGCAGATTACAGATCAAACTAGGAATGAAAACACGCTGGACCTGATATTCACGAACAATGCTGAGCAAATCAGACACATACAATCTCAGACACTACATTCTCAAACCACAAGATCATTTAAGTGCAAACTAACATTAATAACTGTAATAGGCCCAATTAAGATAAACAACAAGTGAGAAGGGTTATTCAGTAAACTAAATTTTAATAATAAAAGGATAGACTGGGAGAAAATAAACAGGGACCTTACAAACATTAAATGGGAAACTGTTCTAAGTAAAAAAATTCTACACAAGAATAGAAAAACTGACTTCTGAAGCATATGAAGTCTGTCTGAAACATATTCCTTTGAGGAAAGCCAGAAAACGGTCCAACATACAAAGAGAACGCAGACGACACTACAAAAGAAGAAAAAATATAACGGAAATGCTTAAGCACACACGACTTTCCATACAAAGAAGGAATAATTTAAACAAGGAAATTGAATAAATCGAACAGAGACTGAAACATCAATATCAGATTGAAGAAAGTCAACTAAAACAGAAAGCAATTCAAGAAATAAAAAAATATTTCTTCACATATGCGAAATCTAAAGCTAAAACCACTGCCAGTATTGGACCTATTCGTACAAGTGAAGGTTCATTCACGGAGGATGACAAAGAAATTAGTGAAATCCTAAATAAGCAGTATGAGGACATGTTTAGCACTCCAATAAACAGCATGAAAGTGGAAAATCTGGACAACTTCTTTATGCATGATATCCAAACCCCCTGTAAATATAACTGATATCAAGACGAGCTTGGCAGATTTTGAAAGGGAAATTGACAACATGCCCAGGCACTCAACAGGGCCAGACTCATGGAATTCAAACTTAATAAAGAAATGCAAAGTGCCAGTAGCGCAGGCATTCAGTATAGTGTGGAGGAAGAGTTTAAACATTGGGAGGATATCAGATACGCTTAAATCAGCAGACATATCCCCATTACACAAAGGAGGGAGTAAAGCATTGGCAAAGAATTACAGACCAGTTGCACTAACGTCTCACATAATAAAAGTATTTGAAAGAGTGATCAGGAGTCAGGTCTCTATTTTCATGGAAACCATTGACCTCCACAACCCAGGCCAACATGGATTTAGAGCAGGAAGATCATGCCTCTCACAGTTACTTGACCTCTACGACAAAATCACTGAGGCATTAGAAGAAAAACAGAATGCAGATGTGGTATACAAGGACTTCGCAAAAACATTCGATAAATGTGACCATGGTGACCATGGAGTGATAGAACACAAAATGAGGTCAGTGGGAATAACTGGTAAAGTAGGACGCTGGATACTCAGTTTTCTGTTGAAAAGAACAGAAAGAGTAACAGTCAACCGTATAAAATCGAGTTAAACCACATTTAAAACTCTGTTCCTCAGGGGCACAGTCATTGCACCACTGTTTTTCCTTATTCTCATATCAGATACAGACTCAAATACAAGTCACTGCTTCGTATCATCCTTTGCAGATAACACCAAAATCAGCATGAAAATTACCTCTGTTGAAGACATTGAAAAACTAAAAGCAGATATTAACAATGTTTCGACTAGGCAGCAGAAAATAAAATTGTTTAACAGTGATAAATTCCATGTATTCAGGTACAGTAAAAATGAGGACCTTAAACATAATTCAGGGTACAAAACACAATCAAATCTGTCCATAGTAGGAAAACCGCATGTAAAGGATTTGGGAATAATTATTTTTGACGACCTAACGTTTAGGGAGCATAATCAAGCAAATATTGCTTCATCCAGAAAAATGATAGGATGGGTTACGAGAAATTTCATATCCAGGGATCCCATCACAATGGTTGTACTATTCAAATCGCTTGTGCTGTCCCGTCTTGAGTACTGCTCAGTACTTAATTTCCCCTTCAAAGCAGGAGAGATTGTTGAAATAGAGGGAGTACAGAGAACATATACGCACGCATAAACGCAATAAAGCACCTAAATTATTGGGATCGTCTCAAAGCTCTCCAAATGCACTCACAAGAAAGGAGACGAGAGAGATATCAAATAATATACACGTGGAAAATACTGGAGGGCCAGGTCCCAAATCTACACTGTAAAATAACAACATACTGGGTGAACGATATTGAAGAATATGCAGAATAGAACCAGTGAAGAACAGGGGTGCCTGTTCTCAGTGCCTGCACAATCAGAGAACACTTTATAATCATCAGAGATCCACGTTTGTTAAACATCATCCAAGCGAGCTTAAGAAATATTGCGGGATCAATGTGAATATCTTCAGGAGAAAACTAAATTTTGTAAAGGAAGTGCCGGACCAACCGGGCTGTGGTGGGTATGGGGGCTTGCGGGCCGCTCCAAGCAAAAGCCTGGGCTCGGGCCGGGTTTGGGTAGTAGACGAACTCCCAGAACCCCAACAAGCAGATATCAAGCAGGGAGGAATGAGGTACAGTAATACAATGGATCCAGTGAAGGAAGAAAGTAGAGTAATACAATGGGTCTAGTGAAGGAAGGGGGTAGAGTAATACAATGGGTCTAGTGAAGTATGGGGAAACAGTAATACAATAGGTTCAGTGTAGCAAGGGGAACAGTGATGCAAGGAGTATAGTGATGCAAGAGACATAGTGATGTAAGGGGTACAGTGGTGATGCAAGGGGTACAGTAATTATGCAAGGGGGTACAGTGGTGATGCAATGTGTACAGCGGTGATGCAAGGGGTACAGTAGTGATGTAAAGGGTACAGTGGTGATGCAATGGGTACAATAATACCATGGCGTACAGTGATGATGCAAGGAGTACAGAGGTGATGCAAAGGGTACAGTGGTAATGCAAGGAGTACAGTGGTGATGCATAGGGTACAGCGGTAATGCAAGGAGTACAGTGGTGATGCAAAGGGTACAGTGGTGATGCAAAGGGTACAGTGGTGATGCAAGAAGTACAGTGGTGATGTAAGGAGTACAGCAGTGATGCAAGGAGTACAGTGATGATGCAAAGGGTACAGTGGTGATGCAAGGAGTACAGTGATGATGCAAAGGGTACAGTAGTGATCTTGAGGTTATCTTGAGATGATTTCGGGGCTTTAGTGTCCCCGAGGCCCGGTCCTCGACCAGGCCTCCACCCCCAGGAAGCAGCCCG